CATGAGTATTAGGATAAGAAACATTTCACTRTTAAGAAACATTTCACTGTTGTCAAAACTCCGAATATACCATTCTGCTGCTTTGCAGATTGAACCCAAAATACTAGCAAATATTTTTGGCTTTTTCACATCATTATTGGCAACTTTATTATGCCTCTCTTGGTCTGAACCACTGCAGTTTTAATTGCTTGTGTTTTGAAACTTGTCCTTTTTTGTCCTTAACTGTTCCAGTGAGTCTTACACCCTGGTTTAGTCTAGAAAATCAGAGGAAAACTATAAAGAAATTTCCTTTTTGTTAATTTTCTTCCTTTGCAATCTACTCTGTAACCCTAGTTCCCTGACCAGGCTTATGAGTGTCTGAGTGCTTTAGTAGTTATTTAGTTGAAAACATTTTAGGAAATATTTCTGTATTATGATTACTGCTTATGAGCTGCGTACTAAACAAAAGTTGTCCATCTGTGGTCTTCTCCTCTGCTTTCAAATTACATTGGAAGARTATACAATCAGAAAACTTGAGATTATAAACAGTTTGCCTTCGTTTAGGAAGACCAGGTACTCTTGAGTTCTGAGCCCTTCAGAAAAATCTGTCCACAAAAGCAGGCCCCTGGATGGGGGCTGAACTCTTGAAAATCTGTTTCTTCAGGCTTTCTTTCCATCTGTTGCTCTGCTGGAACACTAATCCAAGGCTGACCTAATCTGGGAGCTGCAGCAGACAAACTTTGCCTGCAACTGAATGCTMTTGTTCCAAATGATTTCTAATTCGAGGTTTATTCCATCAATTAAGCATTATCTTATTTTGGGACATGCCAAAGCCATTTAAAATACTGTAAATTAGCGTGATGTCCACAAGAAAAAGATTGCTGTGTGAGGTAAAGTATCCCTGCAGCCAGCACTTGTCATAGTGGCTTAATGCTTGGGAGTGAGGCTGTGTTCAGCTGATGGGCTTCAAATTTCTATCAGGCATCCCTTGGCCAAAGCAGATGAGAATGACCCCTTTTGTCCTGTCTGTTGTTATCAGGCGGCTCTGGAAAATGGGCACTGTTGAGTGAAAAGAAAGCAGCAGATGACATTTTGTTTTCTGCATGAACTAGTGTRTAGGATCTTTGTTTTTCAGATGTGGTTTTCAAGAAGATGTGCTAATATTGCTGCTATTTTAGCTGTAGCTCTTTTGTTCGAGCTTTAACATAGATTTCTGGGAGTTGGGATCTCCATTTATATTAGTGAGTTCTTCCCTTGTAAAATTCCATGGATACCTAAAATATAAGTATATATATTCTAAATAAGTCTTTTTTGATATTACTGTAATACCCCTTTCCTGGAGCATAATCTTATTTCTGTAAAAAAAAGAAGTGGTCATATTTTCTGAATAGTAACATCTGAAAACTTTTGCCTGTGTGCTGAGATTACACGTGCTCTTGATAACAAAACTCCCTGTTTTAACCCAGCAGTGAGCATGGGGCAGGGACTCCTCTCTGTATGGGGCACAAGTAGACATGTTCTGTGATTTAAACCAGTGTCACCCAGCATTGGATCTGGAGTTCCACTGTTTCACAAACAGCTGTCACACGCACAGGTCTGTAAATCTTCTGAATTTGGAGTGTCTTAGTCATCCTTATTGCTGTTTTCCACAGCTGACCAGAAAGCTTCTGTGCATTGTTGCTGTGCCAGTGAGACCTGGAGGCTGCCAAATGAGTGACCTACATAGTGTCAGTAAACAATAACAGGAGAGCTGTGCTCACAAAGTGAGTGAGGTTTGAAAGTGTTTGCATACAGGGTTTTGTTGACATTTTCATGGGTGATTTGGGGATCATTTGGGAGCCAGGTGTCTCATCTGGACTTTCTAGTATTCCAGCAGCCTGACTAGGTAGATTCGTATCCTCCAATTTTCARTCATCCAGTTTTGATCTGTTTCAGTTAGGAGGCCAGTCTTTATGTACAGTCACTTAGGAGCAGTTTGGCTCCTTTTTAGTCAGAGAAGGAGACAGGAGTTTTATTAGAGTTATTCTCACAGTGCTTCCTGTGTAGAAGTCAGTAGGACTTAACTGGGTAAATAGTTTCTGATGAACAAAGGATACGTCATCTTTAGGGCTGGTTTGTTTTTTTGTTAAGGTTTTAAAAGTCACTAGAGTGATGTTCCAAAAGTTCACTTGTTCCATAAATGAAGAAATAGCAATAACATGGGTCATCTTCTGCCAGCTGGATGTTGGTAGTTTCAAAATRTCAGATGCCAAGGTTGTGAGCGTGATGTATGAAGAAAATGCTAATGAAGTGCAGGGCTTGCACAGTAATACTTTGGAGCAGACTTTAGAAGACTCAATGTTCCTTCATTTCTGTCTCCCTCAAAGACTCTGCATTCCTGCACAAGTTTGTGGCACTCTGGTACATCATGATCATCAAATTAGCTGTCCTTGCAGCTTCTCTGCGTGGTTGCCAGCTTGGACCTTCACATGGAGTTTGGCTCCATCTGAGTCCCTGCTCCCTGCTTATGGGGAGGTAGCACCAATAGGCAGAGAGAGGATGGGTGGGCAGGCAGATGCACACTCAGGCCAGCTGCAGAACCTCAGACAGGCTCTGAAACTTCTCACACCCCCCCCCTTCTCATCCATTAACCTCTGCTCAGCACTGCAGAGTCTGGACTGGCATAGCTAAAAACAGAACCGTGGGAATCCTGTTTCCCACTTAGGGACTGACCTCAACAGAGTCCTGTATGGATATGCTGGAATTACTTGGCAGTCCCACTGTGGCTTCCTTAGAAGGATAGTCTKGAAGAGAGAATTTGAAGGCAGAAAAACAACTTCCTCCTGTTCCTACCAGTGCAAGGCAAGCCCAGCAAGTCCCTGTGCCCTGTAGGTGCCAGTGGAGTCCCCTGGCCAAACAGAAAGTGAAGCCGTGTCTGTGGGCTGGTTTRGTGGCCACACTGCACCCAGGGTTGTTACCAGTACCTTTCAGTTCCATTATTTTTGTTTCACATGCTGTTCTTTATGACGCTCTGTATGATTCTCTTCCCTTTCTTTGGTGTTTTCCACCATTCTGGTACTGTTTACTGCAGATGCATGAGCTAACTATAGTAAACTCCTTGCTAACTTCACTGGGTGGAGACCTATTGCTGGAAATCTGCTGGCTCATGTATGTAATTACATGATGGGCTCTTATGCATCAGGAGAGCTGTTGTAACTCTCTGAATGGACAAGGGATCTTGTCAGAGACTTTAAGAATTCTGTAGGCTGGCAAATCCTCATCTGTATTGTCATTCACGTCTCAAAACAATACTTAGTGAGTCATGAATTATGCAAATGAAGATTGCTTCTTCCCTAGTAGATTGGATTTATTTGTGTTTACTAATTCTTTTTTAAAATCAGTTTGTCAACTCTGAAAGACTCAGTCCTACTGTTATGGTTTTGTTGTTGTTTGTTTTATATTTTCCTTTAATGCTTAGGTTCATTTGAGTGATAGATCCCTTACTACAGTTAATAAAGTAGTGAATTTGAGTTTGTGTAGTTATCATGGGTGAAGGCTGCCTATATATATTACAGCTTTAGATTTTGACAGGTTTTGGAAGAAGAGTCTTTTACAAATGCTTCAGTTTGAAGCAGTTCTTTGGAGCTGAGCTTTCAAAAGTAGCTTAGATTCTGAAGTTACTCAAGGCATACCCCTAATGAATATGAATGAAAAAAAAATAATGAAATTCATTAAAGTTTATTCTGCTTTAAAATGAATGTTTTCATCATAAATAGTTCAGCAGCTAGTTGCTGATACCTGTAGATACATTTCGTGTACCCAATGGGGTGTATTTCCAAATGAGGCAGTAATTAAGTTCTTCATGGGGCTTGCTCTTAGGCTGCATTTGCCACAAAATGGTGGTAGCAAGGTAATACCATCCATGAGTTCCAGTTTGTTGATAAGAAACTTGTGAAAATAGCTGGAATTGGACTCCACTTCTTTGTGCAGCTRTAGTAAGAAGAGGATTTTACAAGACTCTTTAATGTAGTTGGAATGTCTGTGTAATCTCTTGACCTTGTTCTCAGTTTTGATGACTATGGCATGTTAAGTGCTGATAATCAGGTTTGCTCTAGGCTGAAACCTGACCTGCTCTCTGCAAAGAAGATCAGATCTTCTGTTGGAAAAGGCACTTAGAGGAGCTGCCTTAGAAATTGCAGGGCCAGGACTGCTGAGAGTAAAGATCTCTGGAATATGRCAATTACTTTGGAAGGGCATACTATCCTAGGGCTGCTTCTCTTTCAGCCTGTTTTGAATTGGACTTCTCACCCAAAGGTTTTTTCGTGTTCTCTGAATTTTCTCTTCTATGCCATCTGGTTTGCCTCATAATTCAAGCTGCCTTATTGTGAGAGCTGCCTTGTAGCTTCAGCTGGTGGCACCTGAGTCCTGGGTATGTGAACAACAGGCAGGTGCTTTTCACTCTGCTCTTGGAATGGAAGTCAGCTCTTCATGATTAAGCTGTGTGCAAATGAGGGGAGTGTCTGATACCTTTATTAATAGAGTATGCAGCAATCATAAACAGCAACAGGAACTGGAAAGGAAATGGAGCCAAAGGGATTTTTAAAAACCTGTCCGAAGGGATCAGTGCAATGAACCAACCTGCACTTTTGTATTTCAAACCATCCCTTTCTGTCTATCTCGAGCAGTGTTGCTGGATCTGATCTTCTTTCTTATTTTAAGCTTTCTGTGTGGGAGGAGTAAAACTGCTTAAATGTTTCTGAGTAGTGGTTTGCACAGACAGCACTGTTAGCTCTGCTTTTCCCATTCCCATTGGGCTCCTTGACAGGAATTAAGAACACACAACATGGTCCAGGTAGAGAATGTCAGACCAGCAGTGCCTCCAGCTCAGTGTCCAATTCCTGCCAGCAATTAACAGATGCCTGTGYACCTTTGTTTAAACCTTTCGTAGCCTCCCACCATCTATTTTCAGCTTCTGAGACTTTTTAGTCGTAAATCTTGCTTGTTAAATGAAGAGTTGCAGCTGACTTTCTCTTACGTTTTAGAACTAAAAAAGCAAAGAAGGCACCGGCTCCTCCAGCCAAGGAAGAGAAGCCCAAATTAACCATTTTTGAAGAGGAGGTGGATCCAGATGAAGGACTCTTTGGCCCAGAAAAAGATTTCTCATCAATTGGTCCCAGAAGAAAGATGCAAGAGAGTAAATCTGTTTTATATTTGTATAAACAAAGATTATTTTATCCAAAGCGTGTGTATCACTGAGCCTTTAAATTATAGCGATGCAGAGTATACAGGCTAAACAATGACTTGGGAATGTTAAAGGAAATCTTCAGCTGAGCAGAATCATCTAGAATCATTCAGAAAGAACAAGTGAGATCTGTAGCTCCCATAGCTGTTCTCAGTAAACATTTTGAGCTGGCATATTAAGGTCTGTGGGAGCTGACTGCTCCACTGTCACKCGTGCCACACTAACAAGAGTGATTTGACCTATTTCTGAGTGCAAGGAAAAASCAGATTTACCGAGTCCTGAGAGTGCTGAGTATCACTGCACTTTGTGGACTGGAAATCTTTGTAAAACAATAGTTGTCTACATGGTCTATTTTTTCAGCCCACTAGCCAGATTTACTAGTTAGTGTTAGTGCAGGCATTTTAATGTTAGTGCAGCATGATTTAACGACAACATTTTTGATTCCTCTTTCTAGATCTGAAGTTATTTGAAGACCCAGACCTCGGTGGGGTGGTGAGACTGGGTGACTCACTGCTGCTGCCAGCTGCCTGTGAGCACAGCAAGGATATGCTGAGCAGGGATCCTGAGGAGGACACTGAAGAACTGCTGAGGTACTCACCTCAAAACTGTCATATAGGTTGAAGGTGGTCTGAGATGTTATTTAGATCTTGAAAGAGATTAATTTGGGGGAAAAGCTTAAATACTCAGAATGGAAACTGTAATCAATACTTGAACAGACAAGTAAAATGTAGCATGTACGTCATGGAGCTTGGAAATCAAACACATTAAAAAAAAGGAAATTAGAAACACCCTTTGAGAAAGGTAGGGTGCAAGGTATTATTCTGTRACTCCAAAGGAAGGGTCCTGAAGGCCCAAGGTGTGCTGTCTCACTCTTGTTTTCTGACATGACACTTCTGCTTTCTGCAAATGATCCCCAGGGAGCCTGACCTCCATTATGAAAAGTGAGGGGCAAAGCCCAGGGACAAAGAGCAGTTCAGCTTCTGGGACCTGAAATTAGGGCTTCTTGCCACAGGAGGAATGATTTTCTGCTGATGGCTCACAGACTTCCATGCATGCTTCCAGGAGGGATCCTGTGCATACCTTCACAGCAGTAAAGGACTCTTTATCACTCTGCATTTAATTTTTAATCCAGTGGAAAGGAGGGCTGGAGCTGAGAGTTACAGGAGGGTTTAATACATTGCTTCTCCCTTGATAGTGTAGCACTGGCACACATYKGCACATAATGCATTTTATCCCTGAYRTCTCTCTCACAGGGCTGGTTTGCCTGCAGTGATAATCCTCAAGAGATAAAGCAGGGAATCAGTGCTTGGAGAGACACAGGGAATCTTTGCTGCAGTAATGAGTCAAATTCATTCCTTCTGGGTCTCAAGCTGGCATCTGAATGATGAGGCCAGTCTGCCTCCAGTGCTAATTTGTGTCAACCAGCTCCTGTTAGGATGTATGATTTCCACAGCAGGTACTAAACCCACGAGAGGGACTCTGTGTGTGGTTTCAAACCTCTCCTGAAGTAGGTAATTTTGCAGCTTTCTATTGAAAGTGCTGGCTATCTCAGCAGTAATACCTGACTTAGTTTAAACAAAGGTTAAATTGGGCTGTGTGCTGTCTTGCAATACATTCTGACTGCCCACCTGATGTTTATAGAAGCTGATGGGGCAGGACATGACCTGATTTCATGGCTGTGGTATATTGGGAGCAAACACACAGGTGCTTGCATTATTTTCTTCTCTGCTCATGATCTCAGCATACAGCACTTCATCTGGAATGTTCCTATGACTGAAGGAGAAGTGTGTGTTCCAGTGCAGTCCTTGCTTTTTTATCCACTGGAGAGAACTTCTCCATCTGTTGTGTTAATGTATTTTAGATTATATACATTCAGGAAAGGTCTCTGAAGTCTGCTCTGAGACCAGTAGACCTTGCTTTCAAATCTGTTTGGGATCAACAATAGCAGCATACCCAAATRGTTATGGGGACCCATGGGAAAATATTTCATTTCTTTTAAATTCCTGTAGTTTTCATTTATTTGTGATTTGTCCCAGTGCTTTCGGTAGTTGACAGGTTATCAAGATCCAATTAGAAATGAATACATATAATGAAGTATTCATGAATGAAATATATATAATATATATAATTATATATATTGTATATATAATGAAAATCATGACAGAGGTGCAATGGGAAAGTTGCTATGGGAATCCAGGGGCAACTCCTGGCTGTGCAAGAGGTATAGGCAGATAGGTCAGGATCTGTTGACCTGTTCAGGTACTTAACACCCTCTGAAATTCCCATGGTAAACCCGATTCATGGTRTTACCTGCATATCAGAGGGCTGGTGAACTCAGTGCAAGACAGTTGAGAGTAAAGGAGGCATCAAAGCGGCTGTCAAAGAGGGGAGGAGGAGTAGTGGTGCAGTTTTAACCTAATGCAACACTTCATCTCCCCTCTGTGCATATTCACTGCAGTCAGCTGAAATCCCATAGCTGAACTTTCTCCAGTGGTTGTGCAAAATGCCCTTTGTTTTCTGTTCAGCTGGAAGCTTCACCAGAACAGTCAGGTCTCATAAATAGAGAGGCAGCATTTGAATCATCTTCCACCTCCCCTTTCCACCAAACAGGTGTTGAATGATCTTGCAGGGCAATGCCAAAGTCTCTTTCCAGGCAGTAGTCCCTTGTTGTGAGGAAATGTTGAGCATAAGRTGAACTTTACAATCTTCCTTGCATGGGAGCTTGAGTTTATTTTGAGGCTTAAGAATAAGTCTTATGTTTGTCCTCTACATATTGACAATTACTCTCCTTTTCCAAAGGGTGAAGAAATCTCTCCCCAGTCCTCAGATTAGAATAGGAGCTGTGACAACCCATTCCTTTAGTGGGCTAGAGCTGGATATTCTATGAGAGGAAATGGAAACATCATGGTCTGTTGGACATAGTCTATTATATCATACAGAAAATTTGCCTGGACACATTTTGTTAAGATCTGAGACTGTCCTGAGCAATGGTGCACCAGCAGRTCTGTGGTAGGTCCAGAAACCTGAACATGTTCACTGCACTCCAATGGAGTAGGTGAATAATGCAGATGTGGGAGCTCTTCACTGGTGTAGAGAGCATTCACATGTACCTCAGGGTCTGCTCATGTGTGTGTGGTAGATCTGAGAAGTGTCTGACTCACTGTGAATCAYGGGCAGGGATAGGAGAGAGCTGCCTAAGGCAGAGGAGTGCAGAACCTTCTTCCAGAGGGGGATGGGAAGAAGATAATGTTCAGAGCAGAACACAGGAGCAGCCGAATCCTTTGTGATCCTTATGGTTCCTGAGTGGTTGTAGCAGCAGTAGCACCACAGCAGTGTCAGCACAGCAGTGAATCCTCAGCAGTGACTGTAACTCATGAGGCAGAGGCTGTTAAGGAGACAAATGAGTTTGCAAAATGTGCGTGGGCTGTGCTTGTCACAACACGAGGGAGAAGGGAATCTGATAAATGTTCTCATTGCAAACTGAAGACTSTGCTCTCTGTGGATACCTGCTCACATGAAATGAGAATTATTGTTTTAAATAGAATCACCAGCTTTACATTAACGAGTGTCGAGCATTGAGAAGAACCAACTACTTTGTAAGTGTAATGGGAGATTTCATGGGCTTTATCCCATGGGGGAATTTCTACAAAGCAGATTCCTGAAGAGGCCAAAGTCTGCWCTCCTGAAATCCKGGGTAGTGAGTTTGCTGAGCACCCTTTTCACTGTCCTGACAGASTCAAACTCCACCATTTTTGGTCACTGCAGTTGAGCTGCTCTTGAGCTCACATTCCTTTCTAAGCCCTCCTTGTTTGTGAAAACAAGGTCCAGCACAGCACCTCTTCTTGTTGCCTCCTCTGTCACTTGGAGAAGCAAATTG